AATCGGTCTCGACAGTTTTCCGTTTTCGTGTAACCGATAACAAATTTTGGATGTGTGATAAATGTTTTGACTGAATGTCTAGCTAAATTTGACTCTACACACTCGCGGAAAGTGTGCAGTTTTCCTCCACGACGGTGTGTAGCTATCACTCCTAGACACAAGTGTTGAGTTATTTTTCACACTTTTGTGGAAATTAACTTTTTCTAACTCGACTTCTGCACAGAAGTGTGGAGTTAGTTGCACAAAGTTGTGCAAAACAACTCCACACTTGTGTTTAGGAGTGATAGCTAGACACCGGTGTGGAGGAAAACTCCACACTTTCCGCGAGTGTGTAGCATTTTAAATGCTTGCACTGCAGTAAAAGTTAATGACCTTTTATTCAACAAGTGTTACGCAGTGACACTTTGAAATATAACTTGTTTGTTAATTGTTTAGCTTTAGCGATATACGTTTTGTTAACGACTTTTTTTGCTTAAAATCATTGTACACGTTTTTTTGCGAAATATTTTCGATTTCATGTTTTACTTGTATGTTGTTTATTTGTTATTTTTTTTCTAGTTGTTTTTAATAATGTTTATATAATGCGTCAGTTTGATAAAAGAGTGTTGTTGCTAGTAATTACTTGACAGAAAGAAAGGAAAAAAAAAAATAATAATAATAACTTAAACAGTCACGGTGATTTAAAAGCGGAACGAAATTTAGGCATGATCAGTTTGAATTGCAAAGTTTGCTTTTTTAAAGATGGCTACCGTCTTTAGGTACAAATAATGCCGTTTTTAAAATAACATAATATATTTTTTGCGTTATAGAGCAATATTTTTTTATTGCTTCATTATTTTTTATTTAATTAGAAGTTTTATTTTATTTTTAAAGTTTGAATTAGTTTGTACGATTACGTTGTTTACATATAAAAATAGGTAATAGATAGTTCAGTGTTCTAAATTTGTGTTGCGCTGATATATATATATATATATATATATATATATATATATATATATATATATATATATATATATACATATATATATGTATATATATATATATATATATATATATATATATATATATATATATATATATATATATATATATATATATATATATATATATGTATATATATACCCGTTCAGAGTCCGAGTTGAATGGATTCTACTGTAAATTGACATTTATAAAATCTTTTCGCTGTAAACCATAATTACCTGTCTGGATTTGTATTGAAATAATTGTGAACATAAAATTTTGATCACTGTTTTAATTCCATTACGGACATCGTCAGCTGGCAAAGTTGAAGTATTTTCAATATGCTGAATTTTTAATGAAATAACGGTGGTGTTCCATAAGGTTCCATACTTGGACCTCTTCTCTTTATAATATATTTAATCAATTTCCATAAAACTTCAAGCCTAATCAAAACAGTCTTTGCAGGCAACACAAATTTATTTCTTTCTCACGAAAGTATTATTATTCTTTTTAATAGTATCCTTTAACACTGCTAAAACTATATGGACACTTTTTTATCCACGCTATTAAAAACATGGAACACTAAAACTGTGACCTGAACTCTACATTGACAATGTAATCATAAAAAGAGAAAAAGTAAAAAAATTTCTAGGAATCTATATTGATGAAACTGGAAACATCATGTTAACATTAACTCTTCTAGAGTTTCCAAATGCGTCGGTATTCTATAAAAAGCTAGAAGCATATTAAATAAACGGCAGTTGACACAATTTACTATTTATTTGTTCACTGTCATATACTGCAAATATTATATGGGGAAGCTCTAATTTTAATCATCAGAAACACGCCGTTCGCGTATAAACTTTAGAAATCGTATTACCCACTCTGCGCCAATTCATAAAGATTTGAAAGCTTTAAATGTTTATCAACTTAATATATTTAACATTTTATGCTTTATGTTCAAGTTTAAAGAGAATGTAACCTCACAGGTATTTCAATATCTTTACTCTTTAAAACTGAAAAACAAATATAACTTACGAACTGACAACAATCTAAATGCTCCTTTTTGTAAAACTAAATATGTGGACCTCTTTTTTGGCACAAAATAGTTTTACCTAATTTTGACTTTTCAATCCAATACTCTGCACCTAAAATTAAAATTGAAGAAATTATCTTTTCAATTGAAAAAATCTTTGTCTATTTTTGGGTTTTTATTTATTTTTTTATTATCATTATTGCTGGTATATTAGACTTTATTGTATTATGTTTTATTATTTACGAATATTTTCTATTACAGCATTGCAAAATTACCTAATTGATTTTATTTTTGTTTTTTATTACTGTGTTATTATTATTGTGTTTTTATTACTGTGTTAAACTTTATGTTATTGTTTTTGTTATTTTACAAGTTTTTAGAACTTCATTGTATATTACGTATTTAGATTATATTGTACTCAATACTAGAAAACATTATAAAGGGACTGATGATAAGATTATTGTGATCTTCTAGAAGTCCTGCCACTAAATTTGTGATTTGTTAAAACTTGTATTGAAAACATTATCTGTTGGCAAAAAAAATTTTTGTTTTTAGAACTGTTTCACACATAGGAAAATTTGTACCGTAGACTATATGTTTATATGTTGCCTAGGTAAAACTTTCCTTTATTTTGGGTGTATTGTGGTTTATCCTCTAACGGCTAATTGCCATATAGAGGCCATAAATAATATATATATATATATATATATATATATATATATATATATATATATATATATATATATATATATATATATATATATATATGTTATATATGGCCTCAGACTTAATAAGATAATTGTACTGGATGTTAGAATGTGCTGTTCATACTATTAATTAGATCACCTTATTAAAGTATAATTAACTATAACTAATGTATAACAAAACCTTTATTTTTTTAGTCTTGATAGAAAATATCATAGAAAGTAGTAAAATAAGTTTAGCTAATTTTTTTTTTTTAATTTTTTGATGTTTTTTTAGATATACTAGATAGATATTCTTATTGCTCTAAAAAACTTTTTTTCCTAAGTTTTGCTGGTTGTCTTAGTAATAAAACTATTGGTCACCTAATTGTCACAGCGTGACAATATTGGTAATAAAACGTGGCTAAAATAAATGGTTCTTGTAAAAATTTTTATATTATAAAAATTTTTCCAAGAACACAAAAAAGTATTTTTTTTATCATAAGTTGCAATAATTAGTGCTGATTGCAATGACCAAGACGGTTTCTGAAATTTTTAAAGGTTCCATTTAACTTTGGCAGTTAAAAATGAATTGAAATGTCGGAAAAACGCGTAATTTTACCTTCTGTTTCAACTTGAAATATTTTTTATGATAGCTACATATTATAATAAACTTTATATTTTCTGAAAGAGGAGAAATAATGCTTTCTATTGATATATAGTATTATGTATATTGGAAAGATTTCATTTTTTCATTTTTTGTGAAACGCTCGTGGAATTGCTGTGCTTTTTTTGTGAACTATGCATCAACGGCAGTAAAGAAGGCCATGCAGCATTTTAAGAAGGCTATGTAGCATGAAAGTTATCTCTGTTTTCTAGGTCAATTTTGACCTGATTCTCCTAAAGTGCTTTTAATGCTCAAAAAAAGGACCTTGAATTTATAACTGTTTATAATCAATATGAAATAAAAAAATTTTCTGTTATAAATTTCTATTTTATTGCTAAAGAAAAGCTAAAGTTGCAAAGTGTGAATGGAGGTTTGCAGGATTTAAATGATGTTTTGGTTAAAACCAGAGATTATCCAGGTCGTATTTTAATGCGGAAATTTTTTTCTTAAAAATATCCGGATAATATATTGAAGAAGTATCCGGAAATATAATTAGATTTTGTGTAACTAACAATATCTCACGTCGTTGAAAAGAGAGTCATTATTTGTGTGCACGTACGAATAATGTGATATATGTTTACATATGTATACAAATATGTATACACATAATATAAACATGATTGGAAGTAAAAAATTTTTGAATACTTTAGTTTTTCAAATTAGAAAAGCAGCGCCGCAGTGCTGTGGATGTTACTATGATAAAATTATGAAGCGCGGCTGACAAGGTTGCGGGTTTGAAACTTTTATTTTTAATTCTGATTTTTTTTTTAAGTTTTCAAAGTAGTTTATTGTTTTTTACTAATATTCTTGTTTTTCCCTTTTTTTAAAGTTTCATAGAATGATTAAAATTTTATTAAAAAGTTTTAAATTTCATTCAAAAATAATTGTAAACTACAAAAGTTATGACCATGCGAGCATTCCGACCCCTCCCTTACCCCAAAAATAAAAGGGTTGTAAATTTTGCATCGTCATTACGTTTTTAATTTACGATATTTTTAAATGAAAATACAAAATCCATTTATGAGTATAAATTTAGCTTAAGATAGTAAAGCCTAAATTTTTACTACATTACTGGCCCTATCGTATGGTGGGTGGCATCAAACGTGGGAATGTGGCATCAAACGTTTTAAGGCTTTTTGTTTCCGAGCCTCCAACACCGCATTTTTTTTTGCAAAACCTCCTCATTTGGCATAGGCATAAACATACTTAAGTTTGGAGTTTACACAGTGCATTGAAACTGAAACATCAGAAAATCCTGTGGTCGTCTATTAAAGTGTTATTTTTTAAATATTGTTATAAGTAAAACCAGTTGGAAATTTAATAGAATAAGTTGAAGGGAACTGTTAACAATATTTTTGTGTTCATTTTTAGATTGTCATAAAAAGATCTTGGAAAGAGTACGCCATTAGACTTTTTTAAATTTGTTTTGAGTTTAATTGAAAAATTCCACCAGATTTTAATGTAATTTTAATACCATTTCATTCATAGATATAAAAAGACAAAAAATTAAGTGCCCATATTCTTGTCCCAATTCAATGTCCCATAGGTAAAATGAAAAATTTTGTAACAATTATTTTTACATATATTTCACACTTTATTAGCATATAAAAAAATAAAACTTTACTTATCTAATTATAACACTTTTTCGCATCTTTTTATATATCTATATATATTTTATATATCTACACATCTTATAAAATAATTTGATCTTTACATTAAAAAATTTATATTTAAGATTTTTACAATTATCCTACTAATACAAAACTTTTTATATTTATTGTGTCATATATTTCTTCCTATGAAATTATCGATTTAAGAGATAAATTTTTTTTACGGTAAATCACTTAACGGCTAAATATAGTTTTTTAAATTCGCATCATAGACAAAACTAGTTCGATTATCTCTTTGTAATTCCACGCGTCACCTTTTAATCGTTTGCTGCGTATGCCTGAAAAAAAAAGTTTGAATTTTATAATTAGCTTTAAACTTTATCCGGAGAATCACCCGATTTATTTTTTTCCAGATGATTGCCTTTAATGAAAACCATCAGAAGAAATATATCAAGAAAATATATAGAATCTAGAAAATATAGCTACCAATATATTTACTTCCCGTTATCTATTTTTTCATACTAATATACTTGATTATGGAATTTGAGTTTTTAAAATACTAGAAAATTTTTAAGAAGTTTTTAAGAGATTTATTAATTTTTAGTTTTAAAACAATTTTGTAATAGATAAATGGTGAATAAGTTTGTTTTTAACACAATATTTTAAAAAGAAAAAAAAAAACAACTGTCGTTTCCGCACCTACCGTGAGTCGACACTTGTCAGGTTTTAAATACAAAAATAAATTTTGCAAAAAGTAGTTATTATTATTTTTTTAAAATTTATGTATAAAAAACATCGTCATGCACTTCTATTACAATACATGGAAACCCCAATACATAACTACTTTGGGTTTATTACGTCAACATATGAAAATACTTTTTTTTTAAGTAGCAGCTGTTACAAGCGTTTCAAATAAAACAAGGAAATTTAAAAAGATAACATAAAATTTTATTTCTACATTGGAGATGTCTGCTACATCGTTGGACGTACCCAAAACAATTAAATTAAAGTTTTTCAACTTGATTATTTTGTTGAAAAAAGTCTTACTATATGTAACTATTAAAACCAAACTACAGCTAAAACTAAACAAATTATGCACGGTTAGTTATCTAAAATGGTTGGAAAAAAATTAACAACCGGAAAACATAATAGTATATATGCTAGCTTTACAATCAGACATTGATCATGCCATAAACTAGTCTCACAAATGGTTTATGTTCTTTAATGTGGAAAAATGCAAAACAATGCAGAAAGAGATAACAGAAAATCTAATCAAGTCTACTCAATGACAAACACAGAAGGCACTCGTCGAAACATGGAGGAAACTGAAACTGAACGAGATCTAGGTGTTCTAATATCAAATGATCTTAAAGTCTGTGCCCAAGTGGAGTCTACAATTTCAGTTGCCAATTACAAATTGGGCCTACTCAAAGAAGCATTCCGAAGCAGAAGCATTTGTCTCTGGCGAACGCTTTACATCACATATGTTAATTCACTATTCAAGCATGGAATTCACTATTCAAGCATGGTCTCCTCACCTAAAAAAAAATATTAAAATGCTTGAAAAAGTTCAGCGCAGATCAACAAAATTTTCCTCTAACAAACATCTCCCATATGAGCAACGCTTAAATATATTCAGATTGACAACACTGGAAAAGAGAAGAGCCAGAGGGGATCTTATTGAACAGTTTAAAATTTTGAATAAAATTGATGTTGTTAATTTTTTTGTTCCTCAAAAGTTCTCTAACAACGCATATAGCAGGAGAAATCGTAATAAACAGCTACACAGACAAATTGTTAGCGACTGCAAAGAGCGACATCACTTTTTTACTAATCGTATCACACCGTCCTGGAATATACTACCACAAGAACTAATTAACACTCACACTCAACTTATTCAAAAGTTTCCTATCATGATGGACAACTTGTCTCGTCAACAATTTGCCCTACACATTAGATAGTATAGAGATGGCTGGTGTTGCATCTCTTCGTCAATATACTTTATAATTAATGATTGACTAATTTATAGTATTATTAAATTTTGTGAAAAAAATTAAATTATTCTTGATTGTAAATTTATTGATTCTAAATAAAATCAAATTCAAATTCATATCGGTTTCATAATTTTGCGATTATTAAAAAATAATAATTACAATATTTTGATGGAGGTTAAACTAACTTTTGAGTTAAATAACTTAATTAGAAATTTGAATTGACCTTATTTTATTTTGTTATATAGAACTTTATTTTTTAAATTTTTTCTTTCATTGGTTTAAAAAAAATCAAAACGATTATTTTAGTTAGAACAAACTTTTCCTTAGTGACATACACCCTGAGTAGAATTTTTATCAAGTTTTATTGTTTAACTATCACCAGGAGGTAAAGTTAGTTTGTAACAACAAGTATATATCAAAATATATCAGTGGACATCCCCAGTTTTATTACACTAGACTGTGTATCATTTTAATAACTTGCATTTTAAGTAATAAATATGGAGAGATAAGGTTTCAAATATGGAAAATAAATTTCGGACTTCCCTTTTGCGATACAACCTGCTAAATTTGTGTTTTATTAAATTAATTAATTCTATTAACATGGCCGATGATTAGTTCAAAATGTCACTTTATTCACAAGTTTATATAGCATTTTAAAGAAAAAGTTAGTATGATAAAGAAAAGCATCATTTCCTTTAAAGTTAGGCGACCAAATATTATATTAATTGTGTAGAATTTTTGATATCACGATATCCTTTGGATACAAGAAAGAAAGACAGAGAGTTATTACAAGTAGAAGCTGTTTATAGTTGCATCGATAAAAACGAGAATTTGTTCCTTGGTTTTCTTTGATAATCAAGAAGAAGATTTTAGACTTATTAAGTATAAATTTTAATTAGCCATATTGTTTATCCTTTATGAGAACCATGATAATCGTAATAGGAACTATGATGAACCGCATAAAGGAAAAACTTGTTTATTTAATATTTTAACAAAAGCTATTGCTGATTTTTCTTTGGATGTTATGAAATGTGAAATTGTGGAATGGATACTTTACAAAAATTTTTTATACCTGTGGTTTTCTGTCTCAAAGAATGTCATTAATGGTGCAGCCTTTGCTACTGCTTCTTCTACTGAAGTTAATAACAAATTTTGATTTTATTGTTGCACTGTGTATAACAAGACATGTTTTTCATATAACTTTTTCAATTACATGATTGTGCAAGCAAGTAATAATGATATTTTTTATAGTTTAAATCTTATTCAAGATTTTGTCTTTATAGTTAGAAATATTATTATTCAACACCTCCAAATATGCTTTAAACAAGCCTAAAAATTGCACTTCAAATTATTTTAACTTGGTTATCACTGTTTCTTTGCTAGATTATCTGATTACTTAGTTTAACACAATGTTTGATTGATACAATTTTGAAGTCTTATAAAGCACCTGTGTTTTAATTTCGTCTTTATTCAGCTTTATTCTAATATTCAGTTTCTTCTAAAAACAATTGCAGAAGTTCAATGTTTTGCTATACTAGTTGGGAGGACCAAATCATATGTTTTAGTGTCTTTTGTTTAACCAAAGGCTTTATTAGGTTTATTTATTATTTCCAAACCAAAGGCTTTATTACTTGAATTTGAGCGGTGGAAGTTTAGTTGAATTTTATTTAATTACCTGAATTTCAAAAATGAACTTTAATCTAATAATACTAAAACATTACAAGCAACAAACCTTTTCTTTACTGAGGCGCCTAAAAGGTTATAAGAGAATAGTAAGTAGACATTGCAAAGCAAAATGGTAGATAAAGTCTAAATGATTTAGTTTAGCTTTTAGTTTATAGATAGTAAACAAGCTTTTAACATGTTTGTTATAATTACTTATGAGTTGTGTTTTAAATAAAGTTCAAATATGATAAAAACTTCAAAAAATGTCTAAGCTGCTTTTTGTTAAACAGCTATTTTCATAGCCAGACATCTTTGTAAAAATATTTAGCATTGTACAGTTATTGCAATAAGTTATTTGACTCTAAGTATTTATAAAGTTTATTTATAATTAAAAGTTATTTATAAAGTTATATAAAAAAATTTACACAGCAAAATCATGTAAATTGTTTTCACAAATCTTTTAAAAAATTTTAAAATTTAAAAATTTTATATAATTTATTAGAGGGTGGGAAATGTTTATTGTCCAATTTAAAAACACTTTTCCTATGTTAGTGGAAACATGAACCTAATTTCAATTCTAGTTCTATTTCGCCTTTTTGTATTCTTTTTTTCAGGGTCAAATTTTAATTCAAAATTTTGAAATCCACTTTTTTTAAAAGCATTTTCAAAAATTCATTTAGAGGAATTGAATATATTTTCATCAGAGGATATATATATATATATATATATATATATATATATATATATATATATATATATATATATATATATATATATATATATATATATATATATATAGGAACATTGTAGAGTTCATTATTTATATTCAGTAAATAAAATACATTTATAATATTTATTATGTGTATATAGTAAAAGACACATTATTCATTAAATTTTCTTTTTTGCTTTTTACAACCAGTATATACGTTTCTGTGTTCTTGTACGCAGCGTAATAAAATTTTTTTTTTTTTTCTTTCAACAGTGATTGAACCATGAAAGTCTTGCATTAATTTAACCAGTCTTTCTGCCGTATAATTAACTGTCAATAGCTTTCTTTTAGCTTGTTGGAAAGAATCATCATTTGACCATAAAGAAGGACTCGTCTTTAGAAAACTGTCATCAATTTTGAGTCGATTAAATAGGAACTTGTTTTTAACGGAGACAAAGTCATCAATGTTTTCCTCCAAAATTAAAACAGAAGTAATTGTTATCAGACATACCAAAAAGTGGATCAAAAAGTTCTTCTTTGAATACAATCTAACGTTTATCCTAAGCTGATGGGTTTTCTTTAGCTAAGTTAGCAACCATTTTTACTTTAGTTTCTTGATCAATATCATTGTCAAATAAAGACAAAACAGACACTTCAGTCAAATGCCATAAATGCAGGCAAAACTTCTGTAAAGCTGCTTTGGAAATGCTTTTGTTTATTATTTTATAATCTTTCATGGACTTCAAAAAGTTTAAGCCCTAATTAGGTGCTTTTACTGCTAAAATGCAATGGAGCCAGAGTTTGATGTAGGATGTCACAATAAACAGGCAGACATCCAACATAGCTTCCTTATTCTTATTTAAAACTCTGAATTAGAAGCTTAGCAATGATACTTTTAACGAATAAATGGCTCTTCCTATTCACCTAGTATGGTGCATAGCTCCTTGAGGCTGAATCTTTAATTTCTTCTCTGTATCTCCACAAAGAAATATTATTGAAAGTTCAATTAATTCACGATGGTCATCTCTAGCTATTTCTTTAGTCAATTCAAATTGGTAGAATTCTAGCAGTTTATTTCTAAAACATTTGAACAAGCTTTTCTGTACAGATTTGTATTTTTTACATCAACATTTTTCCAGTTTTCTCTGAACTTTTTTAACAACGGAATGCCTGGGCTTGTAATTACTTGGCTGATTTTCGCTTCAAAGACTTTTTAACACTAGTTTGTAGACCTAATGACGGCAAGAAAAAATAAGCATATTTTTATCCAGTTTTTGTTTGAGAAACACACATGCACCATAAAAACAGCTTGTATTTGAACTCTATGGGTTGAGGACTTGATTATAGAAAAGTCCGTGTTATGCCCTAGTGTGTCAATAGCAGCTTCAATTATAAATACAGAATCTCTCACACTTAACTGACATCTATCTAAAGCGACAACTGACTTCAGAGTTATGAAATTTTTCAGCATAAGTTTTATCAGGCTAAGATAAAGCACCACTTAGGCTGGGTCTATTTTCTTGAAAATCTATTATTTCAGAATCAAAATATGAGTTTTCTTGTGGTGGTTCATAAGATGATGTTGATGGAACTAATGAATCATAATATTTAGCACGTTGTTTACAGAAAAAGAAGAAAAGGCACGCCTTTTCTTCTTTTTCTGTAAGTTTTTTATATACGTCTAATCGGTATACCTGGCATACAAATATTATTGAACAAAACTTCCAGTAAGTTCATTAGAGGGATGTTTCGAAATGGTGATTTGACACTTTACGTATCCTATTAAAAATATCTCCTTAGAACTTTGTAACTCCACTGACATGTTGACAAATCAAAAGTAATGCATTTACTAATAAAATAAGAGCACAGACAAGTTTTGCTGCAAGTCCTCACAGGTTATCATGATCCTAAGATATGAAAAACCTTATTTTTAAATGTTTTGGGACTATTCAAACAAAAAGGGGGTATCAAAAAATATAACTTTTTTTGGACACACTAATATATAAATATATATATACATACATACATATATATATATATATATATATATATATATATATATATATATATATATATATATATATATATATATATATATATATATATATATATATATATATATATATATACGTATATACTTATAACAATTATAAATACCTATTTAAAAATACAAAATATGTGTTGGCATCACACTGAACAATTATGGATTGCATGGATAATTGCACAGTAATCAACAAATAGAAAAATATCGTATATGCATTATAGATTAGTCATGTGTAAATCCATCATTATTATCTCAGAGTATGGTTACAATATCAATTGTTAAACATGCACAAATTTTTTTTTTCTTATTATTTTTAGGTACCCCAAGAAGACCTAACGGTCTTGTCACAGAGCACTGTGGAAGTGCATTTAAAAAGTAAGTTCATACCTCCTTCCATACCATGCTGCGAAAATATGTCCAGAACTTATTTCAAGGCTGGATCTCCTGCTTATAAAGCAAGCGCTCTAACCACTGCGCCACGTCTGTACGAATTTTGGTGGAAGATGACAAATTGAATGAATGCTACACATTTGAAAATGGTTAAGATATCTGTTTGTTTTTTTTTAATTAAAAAAAAAATTGTATAGTCATATAAAGCCTGTCAACCTAGTTATATAAAAATTTAACAATATAACAAGAAATGCATATCAGTCATAGAGAAGCCATTCATTTTTAAAATGGCTGTCAAGAAACATTAAATTTTTTTTTTTTGTGTGAAGGTTCTTTTACCACGTCATAGAAAAAAAGTTTGTACGCATATTTAAGCAGGAGGAATGTTTTTTTAGTTTGAATATATGACCACAGGTTTATATGAAGATCTTCTTAATACATTTTCCATTTGGCGTTTGTCTTCGAGAAGATGCAGGGAACAGATTGATCCACAATATTCTAAAAGGGGACGGATTAGAGCTGGTAATAATAATTTAAATGAGTATAGATTTGGATAAGATGAGAATGATCTTTTTATCAGACCTAATATTTGTGTTGCTTTGTTAAATAGTTATGTGCTTTAAAAATAATAAATTTGAGTCTATGTTAACACCTAAATCCTGTTAACAAATTGTGGGCTTAATGCTGACTCTTTTGTTTCGAACTAAATCATACATAGTGTACATAAAGGATTTTTGTTGTGTCCTAAGTGTAGAGTATTTATAAGTGTTCAATTTCATTCCCCATTTTTGAGAACATAGAACAAGAGCATCATTATCATTTTGTAATTTTTGTAAGTATTTTCATTAAGTATTTTCAAGAGAACATAAGATTTTGTCTTTCTTCTCTTCTTCGGTTTTCCAGAAAGTTTTTTATCCAACAAAAGTAATGGTTCATTTATACCATGAGTTTTAAGTTTCGTAATAAGAAAGTTGTGTGAAACCTCATCAAAGGCTTTTTCAAAATCAAGGTAAATATTGTTATTCTGTAATAGTGTCCAATAATCAATTACATTTAGTAGGTTGGTTAAACAGGAGTGGTCTGGGCAAAATCCATATTGGTATGGAGTTAATAAGTTGCTGCTAATTAGATATGCTATAATATAATTTTGTATTATTCTTTCAAAAATATTTTACCGAGATTAAGACTGATAGGTCTATAGTTAATAGCATTTGATCTGTGTCCTTTTTTTAAATATTGGTGAAATTGTTGCATCTTTCCATATTTGTGGTAGTGAACCGCTTTCAAGGACTTAGTTAAAAATTGTAGATAAATGTTTTGAAATTTGAAAGCTAGCTTTCTTAAATACTATCAGATGTAGTTTGTCAGGGCCTGGTGATTTAGATGTATTTAAATTAAGAAGTATATTGCTATATTTTATAGACTATTCATTTTTGTATCTTAAGTCAAATGGTGGCATTTCTGTTCTTTTTTGGCTTAAAAGTAGTAACAAAATATTCATTGAATAGTTGAGCTTTATCTTTATGTCATTTTGTTTTTTCTTTCAAATTTTACATTAGAGTAAAAAGCTTTTAGATTTTGGTCAATGTTTTTAGAAATTTATTTTTTGAATTGGATAATTGCTTTTCTGTTAATGATATCATTCAGCAAATCCTATCAACAGATAGTATCAACCCACAAAAATTCTATGGAAGTGTCTTATCACAAGTAATTATTATAATGCAACCATCATAATCATGTCAACATCATGGAAATCTTAGTAAACATCATAACTATGTTACCAGTAATCACAATAAATTTCTTTGTCACCAGTAACCATGATAATACCATCATAATCATGTAACAATTAATCATGACAACCCTCATAATCAAGTAATTCTCATAATCATGATTATGTAAACTTTATACCTTGCCACCTGTAATCACAATATGATCTTCATAATCATGTCACAAGTAGCCATGATAACATGGTCACAATTTTGTAGAACTTATTAACTTAAATACTATTAAATTTTCTAAATTGAGTTGCGCATTCACATTCATCATTTTTTTTTTACATTATTGTTCTATTCAATTATTTGATGTCACCTATATTCCATTTGAATCAGTGTCCTAAACCACACTAATCTCCCCTATTTAACATATATGCAACATTAATGTTTATATTTTTGTTAACTTAAGGCAATACTACTCTACTAAAAACAATTAAAAATACTATTTTTTATCTCTTTTAAAAATTCAGATTTAAATATAAAGTTAACCATAAATATTAACATAAGGTTTCTCAATGAATCACTTGGTTGTTTGATCAAAGAAATTTTATTAAATAGTTATACTTTTAAATCTTCAAGATAAAAAATGACAGCCTTTGTTTTATGAATGTTATAAGGTAAAATTAAACTTTTTTTTTTGTTGATCATACAAACATAGCAATAAAAGTAAATTTCTGGTATAAACTATTTAAATTATAAATAAATATATAACTCATATAAACTATAATTAAACATTTTAATTATTTTATATTTTTCTGTTTGACCTGATGTAAAATCTTGTACCCACTAAATTTCTGCTTGATCTGGTGTAAAGTCTTTTTAACTTTTGTTTGATCTGCTAAATAGTCTTGTGACTAATGACTTTTTGTTTAACCTGGTATAAAGTCTAATTTTTAATGAAAAAATAAATTTTTTCTTACCAACAACACTATCCATATATGGAATCCGGCAAACCTCTAATTCGAAAACAGTCTTATTTTCTAAACCAGATTTGCACTTGAACAAGTACCTTAAAAAAAAAGTACCTTAATATATATATATATATATATATATATATATATATATATATATATATATATATATATATATATATATATATATATATATATATATATATATATATATATATTATATATATATATATATATATATATATATATATATATATATATATGTATATATATGTACATATATATGTACATATATATGTATATATACATATATATATATACATATATATACATATATATATTTATATATATATATATATATATATATATATATATATATATATATATATATATATATATATATATATATATATATATATATATGTATGTATTTAAATTATAATACAGCCACAACTTTATTTACTATTGTATTACTTTGTTAAATAATAAACTAAATAAAATAACTTTTATAAAATCTTTCAGCTTAAATCACAACCTGTCTGGATTTGAGTAGGAAATAATATTTCCTTCTGAACATAAAATTTTGAGCACTCTTTCAATTTCATCACAGACATCGTCAGCTGGCAAAGTTGAAGTATTTTCAACATGATAAATAGCCTATAATAAGTCAGAAAATAATAAACAACACTCAAAGCAGAGACAAAATTGCGTAACAATTTAGAAAACATTAAAAAAAAAAAGGTAATCAAATGTTTATTTCACCTTGACTCTACGAGGTTTAGTTTCTTGTTTAAACAGTCCTGAAAGTCGGTTAGTAAACTAAACAAATATTTTAATTTAAAAACTTTTTAGAAAAGTGTAAAAATAAAATAAATATTTATACTAAATAAAATGTATCAAATTGTTTTTCAATCTTTGTTAATTGAAAAGATTGTTTTTCAATCTTTGATAAATTTTGCTATTAATAATTTTTTTAAATAATTTATTTGAATATTTGATAGTGCCAAAAAAAGTAAGTAAAAAAAAAATGAAACCTAAAAAAAGGAAATTTAACAAAATCATAAAATATACCTCTCTTAAAGAAGAAGTTCTTGAACGGGTCTCTTTCAATTGCTTTGTCGAATCTTTCTCTTCAATAACTAAAGAATCCAAGCCATCAATACAGGAGGAAGCTAACCTAAAAGACATCAATACATGAGGAAGCTAAGCTAAAAGACACCATAACACGATGTTTTAACAAAATTTTAAGAAACATTGTCAACATTTTGAAAACCAAAAAAATACTAAAGGAAAAAAATTATAGCAATAAACATGTACTAAATTAAAACTGCAATCAAAACTACATAGCAACTACATAGCAACTACATAACAATTTTAATTTTGTTTTAAATCATTGAAATAAAAAAATCAATACAATAAAAAAACACAAGAAATTCAAAGTTTTCTCAAATTAAAGTTCAAAGTTTTGGCAAATTTTACAAATACTTTAGACACAAACAGGAGTCTATATCAGGCCAGTTTTTAACATCAATGCACTAGTTGTATATAGCAGAGAACAATTAAGAGACCCAGGAACAGCAGAGGGCAAAAGACTGATTACTGTTAGGAAAACGCTAAAGGTGTTTTTTGTTTCCATGTAAAATGCAAATGTTTAGGTGTTTGCTCATCGAATGTAACAAAGTAAAACTTAAATACACAATAACGTGCAAATACAAATGTAAGCAATAACATTAATTTAAACAATGAATGACATTTGAATTTTGTGAAGTAAAATGTTATAGAATAAAGTGTTACAATATAGTAGAAGTGTTACCAAGAATATAACAAGTGAAAAACCTGTTAAATATGGAGGGGAAAATTATATTGATATATCATGAGGAATTTAGCAAAATTTTATTACACTGCAGAAAATTTATTACACCATTTAATTTAAATAATACACCTACTTTATTACTAGATCATAAAGACAATTTTTTAAACAAACTTGTCTGTCTTCTAAATCCAGTAAAAAATGAAAATATACAAATTAGTAAACTTATTATATCTAACATTTTTGCTGAGCTTAAAAATATTCTGTCTCATTTAATGGAAAAGCTCACAAAACAGAATGTGTGCTTGTTGGAGCTTTTCTTCTTTTTTAACTACCCCAACATAAAACAAAATATAATTTGGCTTATATTAAAACGACAGATTAATTTTTTTTAAAAATGGTAGTGAACACCTTATGGAAAAAAAAAACAATATTATTCAAACTTTTAAAAATAACGATCTTTTTATCTCTATTTTATTTTATTTTTATCTCTATATGGTGCAACCTGAAAATTGTGAACTACCCTGATATTTAACATCAATGACTACAATTTTTACCACTGCAACTTTATATTTTTGTTTCTTGTTTTGTATTAGATGGCTGATAATTGCCTTCAGGCATAAAACTATTATTACCATAAAAATGTTTTATTTACTTTGTATGTATGTGTATATATATATATATATATATATATATATATATATATATATATATATATATATATATATATATATATATATATATATATATATATATATATATATATATATATATATATATATATATAACAAAATTAGATTTGCTAGATTTGCTTATCAAACAACATTTTAATGAATATTACTGCAATGAAAATTTAATCAAATAACAAATGAAATTAAAAATTAAAGCTTAAATATCGTTTTCAATTAAAATGTGAAAAACTTGCTTCTTTAAAGCAATGTATGTGATAACATTTTGAGCTAATTGACACTAACACTATCAAATGTGTTAATAATTAATGTGCCAATGGTTTATTGCATTAATTTTTATTATAAAATTAATACATATTTCTATAAGTTTATTATTGCAATATAGAATTCATTAACACACTGAATAGTACACATAAACTTTAAAAATACTATCATTAATATTAAAATAATAATATATGCATAATGAATGTAAAAAAAAACATTTTTTTTACCGCTTTGTTTTATCATTTTTAATCTTTTCTTTTTTTGTTTCAAATTCTTCCGCTGTATATAAAAAATTAAAGAAAAAAAAATCATCTTTTTGTTTCAAATATCTCTTCCGCTGTATATAAAAAATTAAAGAAAAAAAAATCATCTTTTTAACTGCAACTGAAATTATAAAAGCTTAAGATAAAAAACACAAGATTTGATTTATAGATAACTACAAATACCTAGAGATATTGTAACAAAAATAAAACAAACCTTTTAAACGCCCTATGATAGGATAAATTGCTGCTGAGATATGTTTTTTTTCTATTTGCGCTGCTTTATTTGTATTTGATATTTTGCTAATTTTTTGAATATCAGTTGAATCATTAAAAGTCTGTGTTCTTTGTTTTACTGGCAACAGGTGTCCTTTTTGCTTTTCAGTTTTTAGAGAAGGTATAATAATGTCAACCGCATTGGGCAAAGTACTTGCTCTTCTCTCACGTGGACCACTCAAATCTTTTGTTTTCTAAAAATTTAATGACAATTTTATTGACTTTACATATATAAGATTATATACCTAATTTTGTCTTCTTTCATTACCTCATTCATATCTAATATTTCAATAATACTATGCATTAAAAACATCTACTTACAGTTTCAAATGTACTCTGCTTGCTAAAAGAAAAAAAAATTAATTAAAACAGCAACATTTTTTTGTATTAGATGAACAAAACTAAAAAAAAAAATGAATACTCTGCTTTGTCATCTTGAATTTCACTGCTGGAAAAAGAGTTTGCAAACTTTTTCAATTTTGCTTCTGTTAAATTGCATAAGATAAGGTAAAAGGCTGTAACGTTGTCATACTTAAACTAAAGATAAAAAGCATTAAAAAAATTTTTATAAAAAAAAATTTAAAATATACTATGTACAGTTACTTTGTTAATTCTCCAATAAATAAGATGGATCCCAAATAGGGATCGCTAGTTTACGGTATACTAAAATTTTAGTATACCGTTTACTGTATAGTATACCGTAAAGTACACTGTTAAGTATACCAATGACATCATTGCAATAAACAACTTTTTTTACTTAATAAATTTGTTAGCGAAACTATAAGAGAAGTTAAAAAATGTTATTTGTTCAGTCGCAAGGGGACCAAACAAATTTTTTTAATTTCCCAACCCCGTCCTTAGCTAAATATTCAAATTAGCATTAGGTTGAATGTTTTTATTGGATTTGATATTTAACTGATTTAAAGTAAGAACAAAAATATATTTAAAGATTTTTAAAACTAATAACTTAAGTAATTAAATAAAAAGCGTTGATCAAAATCCACCACTTACTAGAACAAGCATTTAAAAAATAAGTTCTGGTGTTTTCAAATAATTTTAGAAGAATAGAAACAGCAGAAACTTATCACATGACACAAAACTCCTCCCTTGTTCAATTTTTGCAGTTTTTGCACTCTGGGGCCCTAACCTTGTTATAGATTTGTTGGCCATCTGGACTTTGTCTGCTCTCTACTTTTTTAGGATGCCTTTGAGACAGCAAAATAAAAATAATCAGGTGGAAGAATAAATAAATACTAAAGTAAACAAAAACATTTTTATTTTCATTTAAACAAAATTTGACTAATATTTTTCGATGATTTAAAAATTTGTTGATGTAATATAGAGATTTTTAAAACTTCTTAGTAATTAAATAAAGCATTTAATTAGCCAACTGTGACAATAAATCACTTGTATCAACTGAAGTCTCTAAAGTGAAATCAACATTAACACCATCCTCATCACTCTCATCACTCTCATCGTGATCACTAGTATTGCCAAGCATTATATCAGCAATATTTGCTTCTTTTTCGTGGAGTGTTGCATTTGCACACATAAGAACCAATCCAATTGCTTTATCTTTTGCAAGTCGGTTTCTTCGCTTTGAATGAATAAAATCATACAAACTCCATATTCGCTCACTTGCAGCTTGAGAAGTTGGAATAGTAAAGACTATTTGTGCAACCTTTGCTAAATTTGGAAATTTACTTGCACCCTTAACTCCCCACCAGATATCAGGATCCATTAATTTAATCTGAGTTGCAAAATCTGGAGTCGGATTTGCACATAGCCTCTAAAATGATTTTATTTCTTTTTTTTAAATTTCATAATTGCAAAGTCCTCTTGTTTCAACTATGTACTTTGGAAGCAACTCAAGTACTATAACAAGATCACTTTTGCTAGATGGAGGAGACTCAGTATACATATTTCTGCCACCATGATTTCGTGGATCAAGAAAGTATGCAAATCCCATAGATGGCGTGTGAATAAATTCCCATCTGCTTAAAACAAGAGTTTTCAATACTGCGTCTTCCTTCCATATTTCCATTAAGTTAACAAACCCTATATAAACTTCAGAAAGTAGACAACTATCGGATTCCAGTTTACCTACTAATTTTGATAATGGTTTCATAACATTAATAAAACGTTGACATTCTTCCCAAAAAAAAATTGTCTTGTACAATGTTTACATAATCTGATTTTTTTTTTTATATAGATACACGTGAGAAGGCGCCAGAGTTAATTAAATTCAAATGAACTAGTTTGTTTTCAAGATTACGGGCAACAGATGTATGATGGCTATACCACCGTGTTAAAACTACATGTGATAATGCTCGCATTTTCTTCAAATTATTTTCTTGTTTAACACGATTTTGAATTATACGAAATTGATCGATAAGTGATGTTCTTTGTTTAACAAAGGCTCTCAGTTTTCCAGACTTTTGTAAAATATCCACAAACTCAGGAAGAAGGCAAATATCTTTTACTAAAAGATTTATTGTATGGGCAGCACAACCATTACAAAATATTTTTGGATATTTTTTTCAATAATATCCCATGCAGCTCTCATGTTTGATGCGTTATCAGTAACAATGCTTGTAACTTTATCAACACCTATTTCAAGAATTACAATTTCTATGCGTTTTGCAATATTAATGCCAGTTAGCTGTTCTTGACCAGTAGGCTCAATTTTGTAAGCAATAGGTTTCATAGTCCTATTTTCAACATGAATTGAATAACTAACAAGATGATTTACATTAATGTTTGAAAATCCATCAGTCACTATACTAACGTATTCAGAACTATCAACATATTTTTTTATTGCATGTTTTTCATCATTTAATGCATCTTTATAAAGACGCCCACTTATACATTTTCTAGATGGAGGTTTATATGCAGGTCTAAGATTAGCATGATGTTGCTTCCATGCAGAAGAATCAGCTAATGCAAAAGGTACTCCTGTATGGAAAAATGTACTTGCATATGATTTATCTATCTTATCAATGTCATCTTTGCTTATAGTGTCAAAGTATGAATTTAGCATAGTTCTTTTAGCAGGCTGCCCAGATTCTTTGAAAACTAAATTTTCAGAAGTTTGTGAAGCCATATTATCATATCCTTTTGTTTCAACTATAACACTCTGAACTTCTTTTTTTATTTTTTTTAAAGCACAACTTAACCTCATCAGACGTTTTTCTACATCCTCTCAAATGCTGCTCCCATCTTAATGTTAATTTTGGTGTAATTTGTTTATCACAATATTTGCAATAAATTTTTCTTGATGAATCTTTTCCAAAAAAAGAGATATGTTGGTAAATTTGTTCTGACATTAAATATTTTACTTCAAGGTAAGAGTAAACATGTTACTTTTATACATACAATAAACAAATAAAAAAGAACAAAAAACAATTAAAATTTAAATAAATAAATTCAAAAACCTTTCAAAAGTTAAATTACAAAAAAACAACACTTTAATAAATGATAATTCTTTTAATACTACTATAAATAATACTATATTTATTATTAATAAATATTGTATTATTTATCTAAAAAAGTAATCACGTAATACATATAATACAATTATTTAATCAATTAAGATAATATCATTATTGAATTATAAAATCATTTTAAAAATATTTCATAAATAACAGGTATACTAATTGGTATAGTAATTTTTAGTATACCAACTATACGGTAAAGTATACCGTAAAGTTAGTATACCGTATACTGTAACCGGCGATCTCTAATCCCAAATAAACAAAGTGCATCTGTAAAAAACAAAGTTGATCCCTAATCAATCTCAAAAAATGCTAAACAATAATTAAAATAAAATATGAAAAAAATTGTTAACAGACTTTCTACTTCAAAATTTATATTTAATATTTTTTTTTTTTTTTTATAAATAACTTATTTTGAATGTTAATACTTTTGAAAGTTTTTTATAGGTTTATAAGTTTACTATACTATTTTATTGTTAGCTTATTTTAAATAAAAATATAACCCAGACTTGACCCTATTAGAAGCTTTGCTTATATTTTGTAAAAGCAAGTTTTGCAACCAATTAATAAGTTTTCTATGTGCACTAGCAATTATTTAGATGGCACTAATTACTGACTCGCCAATTTAATAAAAATTATTAAAATGATTCCTATTAACTAAATAACCTTTTTTCAAAATATTGTAAAAAAACATAACTATTTTTTACTAACTTAAGAAAATAACAGTAGACAAAAAATTTTATAGAAAAATTTAAACAACATTTCTAAAGCTTGTTTTAAGTACTGTAGTTAGTAACCCTGAATTCGGCCTAATTGTTTGGCTAAAGAAAGTGTTTTTTTGACCCAAAAATTAGGTTAAACATAAATAAAATTAAATTAGTTTATAACAATGAATATATTTGAATTTTTCTTTTTTACACTACATATTATCAACTCTACTTACATAAAAATCATTAATTAACTAAATGCACGCTAAATTACAAATGATGCATAAACTTACAAAATAGACTCATAAAAAAAACAAAAACAATCAAAAATTTTTGATTGTTTTTCATCTAAAAGAAATAAATAGGTTTAAAATAGATTTACAATGTCCAAAAATGCAAGATAGATTTAGAAAGTCCAAAAATGCAACAAATGTATTCTGATATATGTTTCAATAAAAATTTCAAGCCATTAGAGGTTACAAGAAATTCAGTGCTATATTTGGGGATGGCAGTATCTATCGGTATATATATATATATATATATATATATATATATATATATATATATATATATATATATATATATATATTTATATATATATATATATATATATATATATATATATATATATATATATATATATATATATATATATATATATATATATATTAGGGTGGGTCATAAAATTTTTTTTTAGAGTTGCTAACCTGGCTATGGTCTAGAAAGTTGTTTTTTTATGTACTAATTTAGGAAAGTATTTACTTTTATGGATTGAACAATGTCTTCCATCCGCAACTACAATTACAAAAATTAGCAGTCCCTATTATTACTCAAAAAAAAAAGTTTTTCAAAATTATGTGATGTAGGTACTCAAATAAAGCGAAATTATATAAAAATTTCAAAAATAATAATTTTTTCATATAAAAATTATTATTTTAGATTTTATTGCATAATAACTATAGTTTTTTAACTTAAAGTGAAAAAAGGTGCATTTTTACATGTTTTTTAAAAACAATTTTTTTCAGCAATATGATTTTTATAAAACGATTATTACTTTTGAATTTTTTATAAAATTTCGCTTCTTTTGAGTAACAGGTTGACCTACTTTTGAAAAACTTTTTTTCTCCAAAATATTAGGGTACCGGTGATTTTCCCAATAAAGTTGTGCCCTTTAAATCTATCATAATCATTCTCATATTTGATAGTATCAATATTAATAACTATTAGGAATGTTTAGAGCCTGTAACAAGAAAAAAAAATTTCATGACCCACCCTAATATATATTTATATTAAAATAATTTAAATGAAAAAATACAACTTTATAATGAAACTTAAAGTTTCATGCCATTCGAAAATCATCAGCCATATTAAGGTTAGCGTTGCAACAGCATCTGACATCAATTATATGTGATTCGATAATTGCTAATTGCCGCAATCGAAGTTAGATAGTAAAACTTTACTTTTTTGCAGATGGGTTGTAAGATTGGCATCTTTTAATTATATTCCACTTAATTATAGGCATGTTACCTGCGTCTTTATGTTTCCAGATTTCCTTGGAAAGTTCCGTATCATTCCTATACTTGGTTACATTAAATGATTTAAGGTGGTTCGCAAATCTGAGCTTGAATGTGTTTTCACTAATTCCGATGTAGAATTTTTCTGTAAGACTGGGATTAGGTGATTCTATGATGGCTTTATATACAACATTTTTTACCAACTAAAAAATACCAACTAACTCGCATACCTCTGCTCCATCAAATGCACCCATGATAACATTTTTTTATCCAAACTTGGTCATTGGTAAATAGTAAAGACTTACGCGCATGGAAAAATAAAGATTTATGGTCAGCATCAATGGAAACATAATGTTCTGCAAAGTTTATGGATAAGTAGTTTTTCATTAATAAAAGGGTAAAAGTCACACATATCTTTTATCTGTTGTGATATTGATATAGATATTACAGTAAAAATGTGGTAACAAAAATTGGACACCTTTTCTTAAATTTAATTGTCTTGCATTTTCCATTACATCATAAGCTCCATAAAATATTCAACAGAAACACAATAAAAATTAGTTACAGCTGCATGCCAAATATTCAATCAATTATTAATTCACACAACCAACAAATTTTGCTGTTGTCAGATGCCGTTGCAACGCTAACCTTGTATTTTTTATAACGGTTTTTTATTTTATTATTGAATAATATAGCTGATGATTGCTGAATGGCATAAAACTTTAAGTTCCATTATAAAGCTGTATTTTTTCATTTAAATTATTTTAATAAAATTCGATCTATTTAAAAAAAAAAGAAGATATTGATCATTCTTAAACAGACGAGAGTTGTATTTCCAGCAGTATACAACATTTATCAATAAATAAACATGTATATATATATATATATATATATATATATATATATATATATATATATATATATATATATACATATATATATATATATATATATATATATATACATATATATATATACATACATATATATATATATATATATATATATATATATATATATATATATATATATATATATAAGTACATATATATATATATATATATATATATATATATATATATATATATATATATATATATATATATATATATATATATATATATGTATATATATATATATATATATATATATATATATATATATATATATATATATATATATATATTTTATGAATTACTATTATTTTTATAAAACACATTCAAGAAATTTAGCAACAACAACAAAATATTTGACAAAAACAATGACAAACCTGAGAAACCATTTGAATAGCTTGAGATTTGGACCATCCATAGTGTGCAGCAATCAACTCTATAAGGTGAGTTTTAAGTTTCTTTGTCTAAAATCAATTCTAAATTGAACTTATCTATTTCATAAATGCAAGTTACTGAATCATTTATAAAAATTTTAGTCATTTATTAGAATCACAAATAGAGCCAGAGGTGTGGCCAGGTTTGAAAATAGATTGTTATAATTAATAGAATTATTGTTATAACTATTAGATATAAAACTGTGGTGCTATAAATTGCCATAGTGGTGAAAAAGTGATTGCAAAATAACAAATATTTTACAATATGTATACACGAATACATATTAATCTATATATCAATCTCTCTCTCTCCCTCTTTGTATTTGTGATACAAAGAGAGAGAGAGAGCCATCACAACATGAGTATACTAAAATATAATAAATAAAACAATGGTTTAATATAAATTTTAAGTAAGATTAAAAAAATGTCAAAATTTAAATAAAAGCACAAAATTATTTTAACTATTGTACACAATTCTCATAAAAAATTCTTTAAAATTTTGTACATCTATTTTTCCATATGCTTGGGGTCCTCCATAAATTATGTCATGTAAATTTTACCATTTTTGACCCCCTACCCCCATTATCACAACATTGTTACACTATTGTAACAAGTTCCATATGAATCGTCACAAAACTGATAACCTCCTTCCCTCCCCTCCCAGAGTGTGATGTAATTTATATACAGTTTTTTTTGTTAAATCATCCACTTTGTTTTGTTAAATCATCCACTTTGTTAGCAGTTTTAATTAATCCATTTGATGTTCAAGCAAACTTTTCTTATTTTACAGTAAAACTTCTTGTAAAAATTTAAAAAGGCTCTTGCAAAAACTTTCATACAAACTTTTTAATTAATTAATACTTTTTATTACTAGTAAATGTTTGCAAATTCAAAAAAAAAAAAAAAAAAAAAAAAAACAGTTACAAAAAAACTGACACTGGATCATCCAAAAACATATATTTATATTTTTCTAATGGATATTGCACACCTCCTAACACTGACAACAACCTTATACCAAATTTACTAATATTATTAAAATATGAAAAAAATAAAAATATAATGTAATGAAAAATAAATAAAAATATTACTTGCAGATCAGGTACTAAATTCAACGATCGATTAGATTTTTTGGCATGAATTAACCAATCATGGGAGAGAATTTCTTTTATTTTAATACGTTGTTCACGGCGTATCTGTCAAAATACGATCTTTTAAAATAATAACGAATCTATAAAAATTATATACAATATTATATAGCAAAAACTTTATTGCTTAAGGATATAGAATAAGTTATGAGAACTTTTAAAAAAATTACCTCCAGCATTTTTTTCAACAAACTGACAGCTTCTAAAGTTAAAACGGAAATTAGTCTATACATATATACTTAAATGATATAAAGAAATATTTAAAAAATATTTAAACAAAAAATTACAACATATATACTCAAATAACATATAGAAATTCAAAAAAATAAAAAAATTGAGAAATTTAAACCTTGTGACAACCAAGGTGGAATTGCAAATTCACCTTTCTAAATCAAAAAAAAAAAAAAAAAAATTAAAATTTTTGAAAAACACAAATTTTTTGGAATGACTCTGTTAAACAGTTTGCATACTTTAATTTGTTTATACAACTCGTCTGTTGACTTTTTTTCGAATGGAAGAAACCCACACAGCAAGGCATAAAGAACCACACCTAAACTCCAAACGTCATTCTAAAAAAATAAAAATTACAACATAAAAAAGACATTCCATTTGCAAAAAAAAAAAAAAAAAAAAAAAAAATTCCACACAAAATCAAACCTAATACAAAAAAAAATAAATAATAATTTTAGATATTCTATTGATGAAACCTGCCTGAGTTTTAACAAACCTAATAACATAAAAAATAAAAACTTTGATAAAGAAACTAGTAACTAACTTCATTTCCATAATAAGGAGCACCTGATATTAATTCTAAAAATAATTAAACACCAAACTTAAAATAGTTAACAGAATTCAACAATAAATAATAAAAATAATAAAACAGTAATAACTAAATAAAAAAATTAAAAACTAAAATTTAAACAATAGAAACAGTAGTTTACTGATTTTAAAAATGAATAGTTAAAAAACTAGAAACATTTTAATGGGAATATTTAAAATATATATTATAAGAAAAATGAACCTTGTTCAAAGTGTATAGAAATTGTTTAGATTAAAAAGAAAGTGAATAAAAACTGTTTAGAGTAAATAAGAATTGTTCAAAGCAAGCTTATTAAATGTGAGTGAATAATTTAAAAATATAAATTTTTATTTTTAAATATAATTGTGTATATAGATGTATTTATGTATAATTTATTTTGTGCAACAGTAACTTACTTACCCGGTGATGCATACATCGCAGACCCAGCCCGTGTTTTTAGAGGAGTTGATAAACCTTTACCCGGTTTTGCAGAAAGACCAAAGTCAATTATCTTTATATTCTAAACATAATACATAGTTAAAAAACAAATATTACTGTTTATAACTTTGAATTAATTGATTCTCTAGAAAAACTAATCTTAACATCAATAAAAAATTAAAAAGTAAATTTCTAAAAAACAATATAAAAAAAATTTAAGAAACCAAAAACACTGAACAGAAACACTAAAGTTAGGAAAACTCTCTGAAACAGTCTTGTTACATGTTAGTAAATGTAATAAAACTTTAGAGAACGTTGCAGAAAATTGCAACTGTAATTTCACTTTTAAAAAACTCTGGAGATAGCTCTAACCTTTCTAACAATTGCCTAGTTTTCTTACTATTATTAGTTCTTTGAATTTTTATTTAACAAACTTCTTATGTTGAGTCTAACAACTTACTCTCATGTTACAATCAACATAAATTTTGATCATTTCATTCTACTGCTAACTTGTTACTTTCATTTCGTTCACACTATTTGTTATAGTAGAAAGTATTTATTGGAAATAGAATGAAACCGGAAAAGCAAGATGGCAAGGCGGAAAAGCAAGAGTTATTGCTCTTAATATAACAGTAGCTTATAACAAAGCCTGATTTACTGGTCTTCTCCATAAGCAATCACTTCACGTAGTCTGGAAAAAGTTTTTAAAATAATTTCTTTATAATCACAGCTTAAAGTTTCAGCAAACTTTCCTCAAGTTAATTAGTTGCCCTTGATGGACAACACTCTTAGTAATTTTTGGGGTACTACAAAGTCACATCATTGGTCCTGTATTGTTTCTCATGTATATTAATGAAAAAGAACACAGATTCATAATCTTTAAAGTGGCTCTTATTACTGATGATACAATTTATTCCAGCCTTAAAAAAAAATCATTACTTTTTGGTTGCTAAGAACAAGTAGCTAGACTTGACTACAATTGCTCTTCTGTGACAGCTTATGGCAGCGACTAATGAACTTTATACCAAACAAAACTCTGTAAAATAAGAAAAGTTATTGTTAATAATTGTTGGAATGTTGTTGATACTACAAGGTTATCTCAATCATTTGTGCTCACCATTTTTTTAACTCCTGATTTCTTTCCTACTTTGATAAATTTCTAATTTGCCCTTGTAGGAAATACTATTGTCATATTTGGACTGTTTCTTCTTTAAACATCCTCTCTCTTAGACAAGGTCCAAAAATGCATTGCAAATGTAGTTGTACCTACACTAGCTGCTAAGAGCCTCTCTTCATCATTGTAATTTTTTTTCTCGTTTCTAGAAATACTACAATGATCGTTACTCAAGCAAGCTATCATCTATTACTTTATCAACCAAAAATCTTGTGTGACTCATCATTCAGTTACATCGCATCCTTTAACTGTAACTATCCTTTAGTGTTCAAAAAAAATTATTTATCCAGATTTCTTGCTTGAGTATCAATGCTTTAGAACTCTCTTTCTTTTTCATGTTTACCTGACTCATAAAATAGACAGTTACAGTATACAAGTCTTCTGTCAACATTTTTGCTCTAGGATTCATTTTTTTTTTTTGCTTTCTAATAACTATAAGTTTAAACAGTTGTTAAAAACAAACAAACGCTAATATCAAGAAAAAATATCAAGAAAACTATAGAAAACACAATAACTAACATTGATAAAACAATAGAAAACACAAAAGCCAACATTGGAAAAATCTAAAAAACAATCTAGTATTATGAAACCACAATGTTACATATTTAACAACAAAAATAAATAAAATATGCTCATTAAATGTTTGGTATACAAAATAAATACTAACTTTACACATAAGTAATGTTAAGATATATTTAAATACAATACTTCACAAGTATAAAAAATGCACTACATGTAAAACAGAAAATACCTGATTTCCATCCAAAAGCATATTTTCCTTTATGCAAAAAAGAAAAAATTAAA